AAACCTACACGAAAAAATAAAGTAACTTCCATGTGCTGTAATAATGACTTGGAATAAAACCTCCCAGGCACATTTTAATTATCCCTTTAGCAGTTGCAAGTGCCAGAACTTCTAATGGCACATCTCCAGAGCTTAATGATTTTGCAGAGCAATTAAATTGTCAGCCGTGTGAACCTCCTCCACCTGACCTCTGCACGGTTGTGTGCTGCTTCCCTTGCCTGGTGTGTGTGTATATATATATATATATGTACTGTTGCCACTTCCCGAGTTCCCTCACGGTAGGCAGTGGCTGCCTAGCAATCTCGTAGCAGACAGTTTCACAGTCCTTCTGCTAAGACTTAAGCGAACAAACATAAAAGAATGCAATTTGCAAGGCCAACACTGTCCTATGAATACAGTAACAAAGAACAGTAGCTTGTACTTTAGAGAGAAGGATTGTAGGCACATCTGACGAGCCCTAGGGCCATGTCTGTTATCTGTAGAGTACACGCTAAGTTAATATTAGTGTAATATTTGTAGTATACTTGTAGCTGTTATCGTCCAGTTAAAACAGTTAATAGCATTGTATTACCGGCCACAACTTTGGTCGACTCTTCTTCCGTAACCTCACGCTTTTGTTCTCGTGCATAACTCCGTGACCTGTCTCATGAGCAAGGGACCTCTCCGGCACGCGGGGAACGTACAGGGCTCTCTGCCCCGCTCCCCAGCCAGGACTACTGCTGTGTTTCTGACAGCGCAACGAGGAGGTCTGCAGCTGATTGATAGCAAAAAACAGGAGCATGAAGTAGCCAAGCAAAAATGAAGCTGGCAAGGACTGTCTTTGTTCTATTACTTCCTATTTGTAGTAAATGTATCTTTTTGCACTAATAGCTTTGCATGCTAAATTCATATTTGCAGCTGGACCACTGCAAATATGAGTAAGTGTTATATGTAAAAGATACTGTGCCAGATTCTATCCTTGAATTTGCAATATTGTTCATACTGGCAATCAACAGTTTGTGTTATTTCTTTTTTTCCCCTTCATATATGGTCTCCTGAATTTTACATTAAAAAGTTCCTCCTCAAATTTGCCCTTTTTTTTTTTTAATATTCTGCTGCTAAAAGATGTAGGCTACCTAATTTTTCTGTCCCTAAAGAAGAATTTCAATTGTAGTTTATCCTGAGGTACTGTTAATGGTGACTTAATAGACAAACTATTGAACAGTGTAGTATTTAAAATATCACTCTCTTAATACCCCTAGAATAACAACATTTTCATGATGGCAGGCAAACTACCTGAACTTATTATGAAACGTGCGATTGTTGGGCTAATCTAGACCTAACTGAATGAATCTCTGAGCGGAAGCTGGCAAGGGAATTGTACGTTCACAGCAGGGCTCTGCTGAGGAGTCCAAGGATAACTCCTTTTTCTTAGAACAAGTGGAGAAAATCGGTCTCTATTACTATGATATGTAGGGGGCAAATATTAAAGGCATCTCAGGCCAGGACGCTTTTCTGGCAGAGTCCGGTGCGCTGTAAACACCTGGGTTTAAAGGCATGTGAGGACAGAGGAAAGAAAAGCACTTTGGCCAGCTTAGCTTACTGGAAGTGCCACGCGAAAATAAACCTCTGCTACACAAGGGAAAAAGCTTTTATTACCTGACTACAAATTTTAGCATTACTGTATGCATGCAATCTGGCATGGAAAATCTGAGTAAGTAAGTGAAGATGGACGAAATGGTGTTAAATACAGTTTATTTTGCCTGCCACCATACACAAATACTCAAATAACAAAAGCTGCTTTATCAGAGCACTTGACTGTCTTGTAACCAGTCATTGAATGTTAAAACAAATTAAAATCCTTTCAATAGGAAACAGTAGGGAAATGATCTTTCTATGAACATCAGTTTTAGATGTGATGAGAAAGGTGAACCTCACTTAATGGCCAGAACAAAGCTTGGACAGCATTTCATACTAAGGAGGGTTGTAGTTATGTCAGTTTTTATACAGATAAAGAGCAATTTAGAAAAATAAAGTCCCTAGCCTATTACATGTATAATCTAGGAGCAAATACAAACCTAGTCTGTGTATGACAGTCAGTTTTAACAAGGCATAGGACCTGAGCATTTGGTTAATTCAAGACCAAAAACTCTTTTAAAATGAGTAAGAAGTAGAATGGAACATAATTAGGCTTGTCTTCAACATCCAGTTGCAAACATCTTCAAGCACTCTTGTTATGCAGAATTTAGGATTGCTAATTCTCACTGGATCACTGCTATATTGGCCTTTTACCTCTCTAAGGATGGCAGGCAGAAAATATCATCATTGGCATGAAGCCTTTTAAGACATCAGAATCTCACGAATCTGCTGGTACATCTGTAATCTAACTACATGGTTCTAGTCCTGGACGGACTAAGCTTGTGCTTAGTCACAGTTTGAATTGAACCTTGATTAATGTCTAAATTAGTTACTGTCCATCCGGGTGTGCAGAGTCTGTGTTATCTCCTAACTAGCTTTAACTTGCATCCTCTTTGTTAATCTTTCAGTCGTATGGCTGATTTACTATACTATATGAAATTGCTTCTGTTGTGTTTTAGTAGCATTAAGTCTGACTTTAAAAGGTCGTGGTGCTCAGTAGCAGAGAGAGCTGGAACTTATCAAACTGGACAAGCATCAGGTGTAGTAACACTACTGTGAATTTGGGGGGTTTTGTTTTCTAAACTAATTCAGCTCTGAGGTAAAGTACCAGGACCACACTGTACCTTATCCACTATCTAACAGGAAATAAACATTACGTGTCTCGCCAGAACCAAAAGTTTTAACACCTGAAGCACTTCAAACTGTATGGAGGTGTGAGCAAGACACATACGTGCCAGGTTCTGTACCTCTGGGTTTCCTTTAGGAGCTTTTATGTCACTTAAAGGGGAGCTTAATCCTAGTGTAGAATCCTGTATCTTTTTTTTGTTTTTTAAGAGCTCTCAGAGCTTGATAGTGCACTCTCCTATTCACCATTTTTTGGTGGTTGTTTTTTTAGTGTGGGTCAATCCCAAGGTTTTCAGGCACTTATATACGTGAATCCAACAATTCCCATCTGCAAAAATATCCTTTCCTTCCAATTAATCTGCCTGAATCAGGATCTTTGTTAGAATTCATGTGGTCAAGCGCAGTTCTCCTCAGGTAATAGACTTAGCTGAAATAAACACAAAACCACAATGTAATTCAGGTTGCATTCCCTTGAAGAGGTCTGTATGTATATATAGTCATCTGAGGTGCAGCACAGAAAAGAATTAGATGTGAACCACTTTTTTGATTACTATTAACTGCGTTGAGAGCCAAATTCTAGGCTTTGTGTAATATTTGTTTGCAGTAGGCAGCTCTACTGGTGGGTGCTCAACAGTCTGTTCTTAGTCTTTTGAAGAGAGATTAAATAAACAAACTTGCGACTAAACCCTCTTACTACTTATTCTCCCTTCTGTATTTAACTCTCAAACTCTGAAGGGCATAGAAGAGTGGTTAATCCCTGAGGTAGCACTGATTCTCTGAGGAAGTTACCTTCCAAGATTACTTTTAAGATAGAGACAAAATGTAATTGAACTGTATTCTCAGCTACAGTAAAAGCGGCAATTCATCTGTAGACTAATTTCACTTTAGCAGGTAAAATTCATGCAAAAATCAGGGGAGTTTCATTCAGAGATTTAGCCGGCTCTTACTGTCAAATAGCCAGAATAGTTCAGTGGGTCATCTCTCATGGCAAAGCTTCTGTTAAGTGATTTTCATTTCCTTCCCTGTTTTGGATAATCAAAGCTTTTGCTAGCAGTGAGCTAACAAAATCTGCGAAGCAAATGAAGAGTGGGATTTGGCACTTTGTAAGCTAAGCGCTAGTAGTTACTGTCTTGCTTTCCAGTGATTTCTGTGCTAGAAAGAAACGCATTTGCTGAAAGAGTATTTAAAGTTCACTATTAAGTGTTGCCAGTTTACAATATTATCATTATATTAGAATGCTTACTGAGGAAAGCCACCCAAAACTCTCTATAGTAAAATGCTTGCTGAATTGGCTACTGTGATTTTGGTTTTTTTAATCAAAAATTAATACTTGTTACATTTTCAAGTGTAAATACTGAAAAATAGCCTACGGCAAAATGAAAAGGCACAGGATTAAAAACAGCTGAATTGTTTCCATGGATACACGTTCGCTATTTGGCAAAAAGTATTTTACACACTTTCTACAAGAATAAGCATAATTTTGAATATATCTGTGAAGGGAGGGACCCTGTCATTTTAACCATAACAACAGAATTTGTACTCCTAAAAAGTAATCTTTCTATCTAGTAATACCTCACTTTAATGTCACGTTACAGTTGTTCTTTGGAGCAGAGGAACTCAAGTGCAGAAGGAGAGTGCAGCTTTGCGTTGTTAGCAGCCCAAAGGCATCTTAACACGCAGCTCACTTGGTAACAGATCGAGACAAATAGCAATCTCTTACAACAAAGCAGTAATCAAAGTGCAAGTATACAGACAGCACGAGAGTTTAAACTAGCTCTAACCTGAATTTGGGAAGAATGCACCAGAAACTGGATCAGAATACTGGAAAACAGTTCAGTGAAACATCTGAAATGGGTTTGCTGAGTCTCAAAAGGCATAGTTCTAAGACATATTAAAATCATTGTTCCTTGCTGAAAAATAGAAATGTAGTTGTTTGTTGGTTTTGCTTTTTATTTAAGAATTAGTCTTTGTAACCCTGATGCAGTATCTTAATAACAGTCAGGATGTCATCTGAAACAGTCATTTCTGTTCTGGCGCACGCTGTGGCTTTCAGCACAGCCCCTCAGTCACCGAGATACCTGTGTGCTTCCCAGTGGAACTGTAAGAGCGCGAGTGCCGTAGGTTCCTTGATTCTCACTACAGTAGCTGCACCATTAGCCTTGGCTGTGACTGAACGGGGTAACATCAGGCACATCCTTGGCAAGAACTGTTTGTTGCGTCACCAGAGTATGTGTCATTCTTGCCAGTGTTCTTTTTGGTTACCACACTCTGCATTTCTCTGCAGGATGCATGGCTGTGCCTTTTTTACAGTGGAACACCTCTGAGAATGCTTCAAAGTTCTGCAAAGATCCCATCACCCTAAACAAAGAGAAGGAACTTATTTACATGGATGCAGTGCATGGAGATTATTGCTCTGGAAAGCAGAAAGCCATGTCCGTAAAGTGATTTAGAGTCTCATAACTCAACTACAGTCTCAGAATATGGGATACTTTAGGCAAGAAAAATACAGCTAATATGACTCATGAAATGCTAGAAGAGGCAGAGCACATAGTAAGTGGCTTCTGGGCCATTCTCTATAGACTGGCAAATTTACCAGGCCAAGCAAAGGAATGTACTCTTCAGCCGTGTCCTACAAGCTATGGGAGAAATTCTGACAGTTCCTCTAGATTTATCTTGTCTGTTAGAATATAGCTGCTAGCAGTGAGCCACTGTCTGCTCTGCGCTGTATTGGCTGCACCAAGTTATCAATCAGTAAATCAGTTTGTAAAACCCACCTGTATTTCAGAGGGCTGTGAACATCTGTCTTTATTGACTGGCTAGCATATTCTGGTCTGTAGGAACCACACCAAACCTGGACAAGGAGGATTAATCATTAGTGGGTCAGGACTGAAGGGAATTCATGCTGGGGACTTCTCACTGTTTTTCAAAGTTTTTCCTAGGAGCCATCCCAATTTGTTACAATACACTTGGAGTACGTTTTATAGAGGAGGCAGAATAGATACAATTATTTACTAATTAGTTTTTGTTTTATCAAGTTCTTGGATCAAGATCTGATGCTTTGGGATCTTGATTTCACCTGTGTGTTTCCTCAAGCTGAAGTTGGAGAGTCTGAGGCACAGCACTAAGTGCTTTGGCCTACTGTCAAATATTTGACCTACTGTTAAATATTTGTAACTCTAAGAGTGTAAACACATGGGAGTTTCTCATCCAGGCTGAAGGGTGAAATTCACTTCAGCAAACCTCTTGATTCTGCATTGTAATAAAGTGGCATAGAGGAGAGTAAGTGGAATCTGTAGCAACATCTGTGACCTGAGTACGTATTCCTATTTCAGGGCAGCTGGCTCGGTATTTCTCAAGCATTCAGGTTCCTCCAGCACATGTTAAAAAACGGATGAAACCCTGTCTGTATTGAAAGTAAAAGGAGTCTTCTCATAAATGTTAGTGGAACCAATATTTACAGGAAATGGCAAGCTAATTTGTACTTTCATGCAGCATGTAGTGGCTGCATCCAAGTGGTTTTACCTGGGCAAAGTTGAGGAAGAAAAGCTGTTTGTGGGACAGATTCAGTCCAGGCAACTTTGGCTCCTTCCCTTCCCGTTCCAGCCACTTTAAGTAGGCCTAGAAATGAGCAAAGATTCGATTCAGAGAAGCAGCAGGATGGCCTATTCAGGCACGATGGATACTTTGAATGTTGTTTTGGGATGAGAGATTTTAGTCACAATGTGTATCAATGTGTCTTCCCTTCTGTATTTCTCTAGTTTTTATCTTTCTAATACCAATGGTACAGCTAATTTTATGAAAAAGCTAGCATCGTAAGTACTCCGTTGACTTTTCTAGTAAAGAATGAAACACAAAGATAACTTGCATTCGGCTTCTTAATACAGTAATCTTTGAACTGAAAACTATTCTAAAGCCGGAAAACCCACCAAACTCTTACATGGAAGTAGAGTTTTAGAGGAGTAGCTATTGTTGGCCAGCTGACCTCCCCTGCAAGAAGCTATGCGTGTTCCTTATGGAGTCACTTGGAGACCTGTTCTGAATTCCTGCAGGAAGGTGGCACGCACCGTTTTAGTGAAAGGTATGCCACCACCCCAACGGAGCGTTAGTTTGCTACTGCGTGTCAGCAAGCAAGCATGACAGAGCGTTACTGCTAGTCTCATGTTTAAGTAGAGCTGGTGATATACAGTAAATCCGTAATGCTATGGAGACTGAATTCCCATGACTCCAGTTTGAAGTAAAATCATCAGCTTTCCCATGACTTTTTCTATAGGAATTTCTATCTGGAAATGAAGTGTTAAGTCTTCTCCACAGATCTATGGTGATGATTTTTGTCTTTTCAGGTAACTGCTCATAAAATAGCAGATAATAACCTTGCTCAATGTTAAATCCATTACCTGTTATTGTTACACATTAATTGGCCAATTTTCTTTTTTTAGGTATATTGACATAATGGAGACAAGTTAATGTGTCCTCACGCTGCTTAATTTCAAACGTTCTATTACCTATCCTCTTAGTTGCTGAGCTAGTCCCAAAGCACACAAAACATAAAAGGTAGAGCTGAGGGTAAAAATACATTCAGCACCGCAGAACATCAGAGGATTCTGTACGCAGGCAGTTTACGTCATACCACACTACTCTTCTACATTTCTAATAGCTTTTAGAACGAAGTACATAGTCACTTTAATGAAGTAATTAATTTTAATGGTATCCCTCAGAGTCAGAATTGTCAGTTTAGATTTCTGAAAATTCAGGATGTTCTTCTACAAACACCCTTAACTGTTGCCATATTCAAAACACCAGAGATAAAAAGTTTTACCATGATGTCTGTTAGGATTATTTGTAGGAAAGAACATTCCATGCTCACACCTGAGCTCCATATGGAAGGAGCCTTTGTGCTGATAAACACTGTGTTCCTATTCCTAACGATGGTTTGCAAACCTGGAGGATTAGAGATACTGGACTTGCCTGAGCCTGGAAGCTGACTTCCCCTGGTACAGCAGGAGAAATACGGTGATACGCGATAGTGTTTGTAACAGATAAAACCATGCTGAACAACATCGTTTTTCAACGGCAGCATGGAGGCAGTGCTCTGAAGTACCAGTTGCATTTCTCTTGTTTTGAAAATAACTGACTGGTTGAAGCAACCTTTTACCTTGAAAGAGGCAGGCAGTTCTGAGATTATCAACCCTTGTATTTTTATTCTGCTTCCTAGCTGCATGAAAAAGAAATAGCAGGAAGGTAGAAGGGACTTCTTGGTGTTATTTTCCCGAAGCTTATAAAACGTGTGAAGAAAGCAACAAAAGAGCTAGGCTTTTGGAGATGGGTATTTTGGTAGATATGATCTGTATCCCTCTTGGGAAAGAGATGGTATTTCCATCTATTCTTTTCATGTCCTACCTGACGTGTCACTTTTGAGATCAAAGATGAAAAGTGTGAGAGAAATAAACTTGGAAAAAAAAGTTGCTCTGCTTCATAATATCACCAAACTGTGTTGCCAAGAAACTAGTGCTCCGTTGCCATGTGACAAGCTGTTTAAAGTTGTAGCTGCCATTTTCAGAAGTAAGGGCTTTAGAAAATGGAGGGGGTTTTACCTTTTTCCTAGCTAATACTGTGCCTATTTATTTACCTGAGACAGAGATATGCAGCATGAAGCATTGCAGTGTATCAGACTATAGCTAGGAGAATTAGGTGGTCTTCTCCTGGGTGCGAGAATGCCAACAATCCTACACAGGGATTGGATCTATGGCGACAATAGCTTCTAGATAGATAATTGAGGCTTTAAGCGTTTGACTATGGTAACAACATGTTAATTCTCAACTTTTGTGTGACAGAACACGTAACCCCATTGCTGAATCCCAGGGGTAAAGTTCACTCTCAGTATATTTGAACGTTACCTTGTAAGCCTGTCGGACTCCTCCATTATCTGCAATATTTTCTCCTAATGTGCTTATTCCACTGACCTGTAAAACAATCATCATTCACTTACTCTAGAGTCAGTAACATCAGCAACCCTAAGAAGCACAAGCTGAAGCACAGTCATACATCACAGATAGACAGTCACGTCTGGAACAGAAGGAAGCAGTGACTTTGTGCTGGGGCAAAGAAAGGAGAGAATGAAAATAAAAAATTAATAAGGTAAAAGCTGTAGATTAGAACAGAGAGAATATATATGAGTATAGAATGAACAGAATATGGGCTGCTGGGCAGAACATATGCTAGCAGGACTGGCAAAGTACAGGAGCAAACACCAGATTTCCCTCCCCCTTGCAAAAAACACCTCATAGGGTCTGGCAGCAAAAGCACACATGGCCCAGTTCACCATTAACCCAACTGCACGGGGATATCGCTGGTTTTCTAGGCTACGCTAGTATCCCTAATTTACAAGAAACAACCCTTGTATCTGATTTCCAGAACAATTAGCCTGAGTATGTGGGGGTTTATGCTTATTCTCTACTTACATTCATTACTTTTCTGTATAAAAAAACAGTGGTGTGGAAATGGTCGTTTTTACTTACATTCTGTCCTCCAGCCAGGTCCCATGTGTAGTTCCCATACTGATAAACCATACAACGAGACTGCTCCTTGAAATGCATCGCTGAGAAATTGCTCCACCAGTCAAACATATTTCCATCTCTATCAAAATTCCTACCTGTATGAAAATCCAAGAAAAAAAGGAAAGTTTTGAGTGAGATTATGTTGAGCAACTGTTCTTCCAGTGTAGCATGGGTTATTAACGTTAGAGCCGCACTTCTTCCCCTCTTTTCTCCTTTGATTTAGATGGTTACTTCTTGTCTGACATGCTTAGTTCATGAAACAATCACTGCAAAACGTTCGACAGAATGTTAATAGTGTGCCTGTACTGCTTCCAGATAGTGACTTAGCGCATATGTGGTCATGTGTCCACGGATACTTCAGTCACAGCAGCGTGTAACTTTGATTTCTTACAGTGTAATGAGTGCAACTGAAAGAATAATATCTTCTCAGTTATCTTCTCACCATTGTCATCAAACCCATGAGTAATTTCATGCCCAATAACCATCCCGATCCCTCCGAAGTTCAGGGCTTGTGGTTGGTGTTTGCTGAAGAAGGGGGGCTGTAGAATCCCAGCAGGAAAAACTGCAAAGAGGAGAAGAGAGAGGGAGATACTGTACGGTAGCTTTATTTTTGCATACTTTGCAGACAGATTGTTTGCTTGGTTTAAGTATCAGGAAGGGACATAAAATATAAAATTATTAGAAAAAACATCATGCCTCCTCATGTTAAATTGTTTCTCTCTTGATAAGTGGGAAACGACAAGGTAATAAAGGTTTAATTTAGCACATCTGCAACTACTGTATCTCCTTGTTTGAGAACCAAGCATCCCTTACATTTCAACTTAGCCTAATTTGGTCTATGATGTACGCTGCAGTAAGTCAAGAACAAAATGTTTAGTAACTGTCTTTTGGAGAAAGGTACAGTTTGTGGTTTAGAGCCATTTTATAGGGGAACTAATGGATGTTTTATTGCGTTATTTCTGTTAAAGAAACGTTAGCAACCATATGTGGATTACCAACAATACTTGGTGTGTAAAACATGCACTGCAGTAATTCCCACAGACCACCAACTGCACTTGGATGCCAGTCTGGGGTGGAGGGGGCAGGAGGAAGTCTTATCCTCCTTCAGTCTACTGGCAAAAGCCTTATATAGAATTAATGGGATTTAGTCTTCATCCCATGTACATAAGATGAAAAGCACGTACATTTCTAGAGGAATTAAGACTACAAGCAATTCATTCTAATAAGATACTTTATAAGAAGTGAGATATCGAAATTATATAGCTACTATTTCATTTAGAGACAAAAACCTTTTTTACTATATAGAATGTTTTATCCATACAATTTTGGGGAGAAATATGTTAAGACCGACTGCAGTAAGGCAGAAGCAGGAAATTGAAAGTAGTGTGGAATATTACTTTCCTCAAACTAGAGACAGGAAGAAATGGGATTTAACTGACATCTACACTATTGTGGGTAGCTGTGCTTGGATCTTTGGCTTGTATATTCATCTTCAAGTTGCTTAAACCAGTTACTTCCATATTACTTACAAGGGCAAAGTTGTAGAGGTACCATTCACCTTTAAGATCTGAGTTCCCTGCCTGGAAAGCTGGCTCGCAGCTGATTACGATCAGCATAGAACCACTGTGGATAAATAGGGAGCCTGAGCTTGCCTACAAGCACAGCTCCAGGATGATGTGCACTAGCAAGCTAAAGGAGTGCCCTGCTATGGCTGAAGGACTCGCCACAGCTTTTACTGTACCCACAATACAGAGGTAAGTGGAAGCTACACAAATTGAAAGCAGCTCTTTCCGATAAGGCTAGAGGGCTAAATTCTGAGCACTTTGGATGTTTCTGCTTTTAGCAATTATCTATGTTTTCCCTTGTGATGGTTGGTTGTGTTTTTTTTCCATTTCTGCCCTTTGCCTTGTGTGCAGGGTACAGTTGCTGTCTGGCCTAAAAAAAACATGGATTTTTCCTCTTATGGTATTTGGCAGTACTTGAATAATAGATCTACTTGGCAGTCTGAGAATTTGAATAAGTGCCACTTAGTAGAAATGATTTGGTTCCTCTCCTGTTTGGGGAGCTCAGAATTCAGTGAGGACTCTACAGCATCTGCAGGCTTAACCTGAACCTCTGGCCACCTGCACCAGCTCAGAGATCAGGGAACATGAGGAGCCAGGCAGGTTCGCTCTGTCTTAAGTCTGAAGATCTTCTCTGTTAAGAACAAGAAAGGTCAGCCCAGCAACTCTGCAAAATCTCATAGATCTGACATTCTGTAAGCAAAGGCAGGTGTCTTTAGTCTTGTATGCCTCTTTTCAGTACAATTTCAGTACCATCTGTACAGATAACAAACTGGAGAGCTGCCCGTATGTTTATCAGGAATGTGGAAACATGAGTACAAACAGCCAGAACACACTGAGCATTCTCTGGTCTCTGAAGCTGGCACTCGTGTAGTAGCAGTTATGGTCTCAGGCTTTCAAACATAAGGCTGTTCCAATTACAGTATATAAAGTTTGCCTGCCAAGTGTGTGTGTATGGGGGGGGTGGTGGTGGTGGGTGGGAGTAAGTTGAATATTCATCAACAAAGCAACTGCTTGAAAAGAACAGCCTGTCTACCTTGCCCAGAATTTGTGTAAGGCAGGTTTGCCTCTGGATAGCAGGCTTGTTCCCTTGTGGTGCAAAAAGTGATTAATTAGTTCCATGCAGCTGTTTAAAATTGTTGTAAACCTACCTATCTGGTTCCGATTGGGGGAATAGAATGCATTGACCACTGCAGCTCCAATTATCCATCTAAAAATAAATGTTGCACATGGTTAGACATGGGGTCTTTTTATACATTCTTTTTATTGCATTATTATTGTTTAAAAATGCAGACTGCATATAAGGAAAGGATTGAGCTAGGGAAGAAGGGTGCTATTGAACACAGCTGTAAAGAAATACTAATACCAACTGGTGTCTCATTTATGGGCAACTTTCATCCAAACCAATGCCATGTTAAAGTGAAAAATGCTTTTGCTCTTGAATGTTGAACAGCTACATCAGGGTGGAATGTGGTAGCTGTTTAACACTATCTGAGCTTCAGAAGAAATGAATAGTTTACATTCAAAGGAAAATTGGCATTTAGAGGACTCTGAGCAGTAGAAGGCAGTTATTCCAACTGGAAGTTAAGACCAAACTTGTCTGTTGAAAAATCAAAACTGAATAATCACAGTTGGATATGGCTGTATTTGGAGTCCAGTATCTCATAGGTGATGACTGTAACTTTGAGAAATAATTTTTAAATAGGCTTCCTCCAGAAACTCTCTCCAATAGCTAGATAACTTTTTATTCTTTGTATTTGTCTTTCTCCTTCCCTTCTACCTCTGATGTACGCTTCTAGTCAGCCTGCTCTAATGAACCATGCTGTAACAATCTGAAGCCATGAACTTATCATAAGTATTCAGCAGCATCAGCTTAAGATTCTTCTTCCCACATCTCTTGTCCTTACAGTATCTTGTAGATGCCCTAGTTGCTGTATCTGCTATTATTTTGACATAACTGCTTGTGGGCTGCTCTGGAATGGCATCAAACTTCCTGCTTAAGAAATACAGTGCATATCAAAACTGAAAGATATAGAAAAGTTGGTTATTCTGGACTAACAGAACAGAGAGGACTGCTCATCACAGCCTGGGACCAGGAATAAGTACTAGAAACAGGCTGTGCTGATATAGCTACTAGCCTGTGTATAACACGTGCATAGAGGAGGAGTATGAATCTGGCTCTGAATTTGAGGGAGCACTTCAGAACAAAACTGTTTTGAAAAATTCTCAAGGCCAGACTGTTGTGAAAACACATTCTTGGTTTGTAAGCCTCTCCTTGGCATGCCTGATATGGAATGTTTGTAGCTGGCCAGGTAGCTTGTAATAACTAGATACCCCCCCACCCCCCCCCAAGATGAGCTAATATTGCTCATACTATTAGCTATATACTGTCCTTCAGTTTAATTAAACAGTAGTCTGGAGTGATAAGTGGTTTCATGTCTCCTTGGAGAAACTCTTCAAGCTGCTGGATAGACATCACTAGAAAGATATGGTTCATTACATGGAAAAAGTGCAAATTATTGGTATTTCATATCCCATCAAACTACCAGGCAAAGAAGGCCTAATTCAGGAATCCATGAAAATGTTCCCACAAATGTGCTTTAAACCACACCTAGAATGAGCAGAGGTGTTGGGAATTTTGGCTAAAGGGCTACCATCCGTCTCTGCAGACAGACTGGAAAAGGCAGCAGTGATCTATAAAGCAGTTTGTGCATTAAGAAAACCAATGCTGCACAAAAACTTTTTCCTATGAGGAGCACCATGATTGAGTCCTCAAGAAATGAGGAAGCAGACAAAAATGCTCTGGTTTTTAGTGGACTGATGAGAAAACTCCCTTGGTGAATTATTCATCAGTAATTCACTGGAGGTTTTTAAGTGTCTGCATCACGTGCTCACATTTAGAGTTACAAACACTTTGCAGGAAAAGGGATAAAAAAAATAAATAGGCTTTGCAACAATTAACTTGACTAATGCTTCCCTTTGGAGAGTTTTCATTTACTTGCTTATTAATAACTTGGTGTTACTCTACATTTTGTGAAGAGGTGTTTGAAATTCTTACTGGAATCTACTTTCCTTTGTCTCAAGACATTCTCTTCCAGCATCACACAGGCTGGAATCCTACTAGTGAACAACACATCAAGTTGGTATTAGCTTCCTTACTTCTGCCTTCCATTACAGCATATCTGTCACTCATGTATTCAGCAGTAGTTTAGCAAGATAGCTGTGGTGGAGGTGTCTGGCTCGGGAAGCTAACTGGACTATTAAAAGTTCAGATTGGCTAGCTCATAGGTCTGGAAATCAGGTCATATTCCAAGGCATTTGTTTCTGAACATGCAAGCCAGGGCTTCTGGGACGTATCCATGTCGTGGGCTTGGCAGGAGCTCAACTGCACTTGAAGGGCTGGAGGGGTCGTCCTGGTGATGTTGTGTAGTAATGCTTCTTGCTGGTTAGTGATGCCAACTGCTCGCTTTGGAGCCGTTAGTAACAGTTTATGAACATGCTACTTTTATTTGGTTGTTTTAAGACTAGCACTAGCTGAGGATTTGCCTAAGAGTGGAGAACTGTGAGGTAACAGCTAGGGCAATGCAGGCTAAGCCCCGAGACTTACTCGGCATGCGTTCACAGAGTCAAAGAAGGGATCGTGATGCAGCCAAACTGCACCTATGACAGGAACTTCCTGAAAAATATATTTAGACTTTACTAGGTGCAGTATGAAGAAATTGGCTGGAAATAGACATAAAATAGAGCTGGTGTTCAACTTCCCCAAGATCGGGTACACTTCCAACAGAATTCCGGCCAGAATATTGTAAGCTTTTTTCCCCCTGACTGTTTTTTAGAAGTTTTGTGATACTGCTTATCTCCTCTCCTCCTTGCTGAGTTGTCAGAAAGATCTGTTACTGCTTTTGTGTTAAGTAGCTTCAATGTAATATCTGAATGGGAAGCAACTTGATGAAGGATTAGAGAGATTCCAAGGGAAATGGATGAATTCCTACCACAAGAGGCAATGAACTACTTGTTTAATTCCAGGAAATAACTTATAAGACCTCAGACATAAGCATTCTTGGCTATCCATAGCATATGACTTAAACATGATAACCATTATTTCAGAGTTCAGATTGTGTCTGTAGCATGCAGTCTGGAAACTTACATATCTTGGTCAACTTTCTCTCGAAGCTTTTTCAAACTCTTTTGGGCTCCAGCTCTCAGGTTTTCCAGAATGTTTTCAAAGTAATTGTGTTCACTGAAGTTTAACTAAAGAAACAGATATCCAAGTATATCAGTAAGCTATGCAGAAAGAGGAATTCCTCATGCCACTGAATGTATCTTGTTAAAAAATGTTTTGATTGCAAGGTATCATTTAACAGTTAGCTCTTTGCATGCATTTATTTATAAAACATGCAAATACAATCATGTTTGTATGCTGGCCGGTCACTTGGAAATTACAGTTGCACAGGTAAGTATTTCAACTGGCAAGGAAATAAGCATAGGCTTTTATATTGAGGTATGCACAGCATACTTACATTGGTGTATTCCTGATCTAGTTTTTCATTCTGATCTTCCAAAATATAATCTGGATAGCCGATTTGTTCTTTAATTGCCATTGCCTAGAAGAAAAGAGTATAATGTTTCCTCTTAATTGTGTTTTGTTGTTGGTTTTTTAAGTTTCAATATATATAATAGTTTAAATGCTTTACTGTTACTGTCCACTTGTTTGTGAAAAACTGGATGAAAATATTTTAAGATTTTGTTCAAATGCACTCTGTTGCCTAGTGAGACTTTTTTTAATATGGAACATACAGGCTTCCCCTCATCTCCTGGTGTCCAGCCACTCTGGTAGACTTGCAGACCTTTCAGCACCATCCAACAGTAATTTGTCTTAACCCTCACTTAGTGCCTTTTTTTTTTTTTTTGCTTGCTATTGAAACAATGCTGATGGCCCTCAAGTCAATGAAAAATTTGAAAAGTTTTCTTTAGGGGATTGCATTGTATTCAATTGTCATTCTAGTTGATGCACTGGGTACCATCTTCTTTCCTCACTTAACTTGGTACATAAGACTCATTAAAGGAAATAAAAATGTATGTGAGCTGAAAAAGGATTAAAAAGGACACTGTAATAGGATAATGGATAATAGGATAGTGAACATCAAAGCTTTTTCCCCTCATTTGTAGAGGAGCTGGGAATAGTGATGCTACAAAACTCCAAAGACTTCATATTCATGAAGTTCTTTGTTATCCCTGACCTTCTCACGAGCTTTCTCTTTAGATGCCTCATCCATCCACTGTAACTCATCTAATGTTTCGATGAACGCTTCCCGAATCTTATCTATTAAGTCTCGGACCTGAAAGAGAGTCGGTAGGAAATTAATCATTTACATTCTATTTTTCCCAGGCACCACTAAGGAGGTGTGCAAAGCTTCCTACTGAAAGATGATGTCCCCAAATTCTATGCTCTAAAACATGGTACTCTGCTTTTAAAAGAGCATCATAAATGAGTTCTTATGCCTTCTGACTCTTGGCTGATTTATACCTTTAACAGACAAAACAGGTTGGGAGATCAGATGGAGGGGAACGGGCACTGTAGACATTTTGGAGGTACAATAGTACAAAGGGTAAACTACATACCATCCTCTTGCTCTCACCAGCAAATGTCTCCCTGACATACATTGCTCCAAGTGCATTCTCCATGTTGTTGTTGACATAACTCACACACTCTCTCCATCGGGCTTCTTCCAGTGTTGTCCCATAAAGTGCCTGCAATGCAAACCAGCTCAGGATTAAGGATGCCTATGCATCTCTTCTATAAATCATTGCCTAAAGAGGAGGTTAACCTAAGACATAGGTTTCCATTGCTGTTCTTAGATTTGTTTGGGGACTACACAACATAACAATGTCATTGTATTGACAAAGACTTGCTTTGGTGACTGTGGGACTCTCTTCCAGTATTATGCTCTACAGTCTCTTTAGGATGAGAGGAAATACCTTCCTGTAGCTGGCCCGAGCATCCTTGAAACGCCGACTCAAGCTGCTGACTCGATCAATTACCAATCGCCAAATGAGGTAGTTCTGGATGGTGCTGCGTGGGAAAGCAAAGCTGAGTTTAATCCCTGTATAAAGCAACACTAGTGTGGACAGTCGGAGGGGTATCTTAAATTTTGAATGGAGATAAGAAAGCAAATTACTGCTGCCAGCCATTGGTTTCCTAGCACCTACAGGTGACTTCTTATTTAACAGGCTGACTGACTGTAGTGGCATCCAGACTGAGGACTGTACTACCATGCCTGTTCAGGGATTAATTTTTTTTCCTTCTCAAGTGTAACAAGAGCCAAGCCTGTGATGTATTTCTCTTCTTCCCATCTAACCTTTTCTAAGCATGTGAGCAGGTGAGACGTCTAGTACCACAGTACTTTGGGACCCTAGGACCGTAGAAGACGTTACCCGTAGTGACAGTGAAGTGGTGTCATTTCCCAGAGAAGCTCTGGCAGAACTAGGAAGTGGGCCCAATAATCTACGTTTCCACAATACTTCTGTGACTTGTCTTGGATGTTCTCCAGTTTGTTTACCTTGCTGAGTACTTTGAGATAATTGCTTTCAGCTCTTGCAGATAGGGCATGCCATATACAACAAGCTCTTCTTCTGGGTCAACTTGAATACTTACTGAAGACATGACACCTTGGATGAAGAATGTCCAGTTAAATTCCTAGGCAGACAGAAAGACATATACCAATGCCAGGTGTTGAAGTGCCTTAGTAACTGTCTGGACTTTCTATAGTCTATGGGACTGAATGTAGCTGTAGTGATGTTCAGTAGAAAAATGCTTTTTAAGAAACTCTGAACACAAGATTAAGAATGGGGATGATTTTATACCTCTCTCTGTTGCATCACCAATAAACTCACAAAGCCATTTCCAATTGGCATGGTAATAAGAGGAGGCTGAAATTATTAGACTGCTCATTAAACACTTACATTCAATGCAAACTTTTCCTGTAGCTCTTTTAAGGTCATTTTGTTGTACAACAAGGTTACATCATGCCTTTCTTCTGCTGGGGTAGTTGCCTGAAGACATTCACAAGGTTATTACTAGAATCAACTGATACAAGTGTCAATGGCTGACATTGCAATGCATGCGTGTGCACATATACATACTCAATATGCAAATAAAACAGTTTCTTTTGGAGAAGAAATCATTTGATGGTGTCCAGTGCTGCTTTCTAAATTTCAGGAACTGAGTGCCCCCCCCCGCCCCACTATTCGATAATGTTTCAGTAATATGTTTAGCCAAGCAGTTCCCTCTATCCTCTTTAGAATGGAAGACTAAGTTCTTAGAGATTTTTAGGGTGCTGTAGACTTCTGAGAATGCATGGGAGGTAGCCCTGGTGTTATCATAGTGTATGTATAGCTGAAGATAGATTATCCTACGTTAGGAGACTTCCAAAAATAAATATGGCTAGGACTAGAGCAGACATAGTAGCAGTATATACAGTAGACATAATTATACACCCAGGGGCTCTGATTTCTGAGCTGCTCATGGCACAAGAAGTCGTCTTCCTCCTGCTTTCCTGGGTTTTCTGCTGTGTTGAAAACTGCTGCGCAGGAGACTCTCCCCCTTGCCTGCCCTCCCCAACAGCCTGAGAAGTTCTTGATTTCTGTACTCACGTTTGCAATCTCTGTTTCAAGCTCCATAACCTTTGCCATTTCTTCTTGGACAAAGGAATCATCTCTAGACATATTCTTGTCTTCCCGGATCATTTTGGCAACAGTGATCATGAACTGCAGATAAGCTTCTCTCACCTGCCCACAAGAAACAAACATGTGCGTACCACTGTGAAGGAAAGGTTTGTTGTCCATTCACTTTTCATTCAGGAAAACATTCTTTTTGTTATTTTAGCTCTACGGTGTGCTGCAAAAAAGTTGGGCCCAGGGGTCACAGCCTCTGCCTTTGTCTCCAATGCAATCCTCCCCACTCCATTTTCTCAGGTGTTTTGGTAGTGGTGCTCGGGGTTTTTTTCCTACAATAACAGATACTACTGTGATATCTAGGACCTCTGTTCATCCTCAAATACCTTACAGGGCAGTTGACAGTCTCAAAATACATAGTGAAAGCAACACTTTGTGCTTCCCTGTGCAATCCAACTCTCTGGCTAACTCATCTGAGTTAGCATTACTACTTGAGCAAAGAGAAAGCCCTGTGCTTTGAGTTATATTATGGGAATAGTGATTTCTGCTAGCCAAAAATACCAGGGTAAACATGGAAGGTTTAAGTTCTCTGAAATTAATACCATAAGTCTTCTAAACGCTGTTTTTTGCTGTCTGAAAGAAAAGATCTCTCAGATGGTTCCCAGTGATACCTTTATTTTTAATAGGAGGTTATGGCTGTGATTTATGCCTCAGAATGGACCTTGAAAAGATATTTGGCTGCTGAGAGAGTACTGATCTCTGATACAGGAAAGCTTAATACTACCTATTCTTCTTGCTTACTTGTCTTCCTCCATAGACTTTGGAAACCAGATAAATACAGTAACTGTTGTGAAATTGAGCACTTACATGATGATGATTTGTGGTTTTAGGTCGAATGCTGAGGCCTTAATCAGGCCAGACTCCCACAAGCCTCAGCAGGAGTTTTGCCAAAAGATGCTGGACTAAGCACAGGGGGAGTTTGGGTCATCAGAGTTTGGTTCATTGTCTGTGGCAAGCGAGCTGTTAAATAGCAAATAAATGTGTCTCCTCCTTATTCATTAAGATTAAAACCACAGCCTTAGCCCTTCTTCTTTATAGCTTCAAATTAAAACTGTATTAAGCAGTAGTAGCTTTCTTTTCCTAATTTAGGATTGTCTATGTACTGTACCTGATTTTTCTACCTCCTACAAGTCAATCTAAGTCTGACTTTCATGCAACATTGCATAAATATCTCTATTCTACTGTAACTGCCGCTCTATAGGTGAAACTTGCAGAACAGAATCCTAGTTCTAGCAGCTATCTGCAATTCCCAGCACTACTACATGGAGAATGTTTTGTATCATCAGGCAGATTAACAGAAGTTGGCAGTTTATGAAGGTGTCCAGAAGGTGTGGAAACAATCTCACAAAAACTTCACAGGACTGTATTTTGAACTGTACTATACATGAGAACATAGTCAAATAAATTGAAGTAAAAAGAAAACTAGTCTCCCTGTTTTCCTCTAGTACAACCACTAGACAAAAGAGTCTAAAATGCTGATTGTTGTGTCTCTGTATTCCCTTCCATTTGTGTTAGGAAAATTAGTTTGATGTTAGGCTGCAAATGTTCTTGTTAGTGTGACATAATTGAGGGAAATAAAATGTACTAAAGCAGTATTTTTTCTTGGAAACTGATAAACTGTCTGGCTATGTTTCCAACAGTTTTCTATGCATTTACAGAAACCCCCACTTGTTTGCTCTGAGCATTGGCAGAGAAAAGCAGCTAGAAAATAATTTCTCACAATTTTCGTGTAACTTTGGGGAAAGGGGGGAGTAAGTGGCAGCGGACTTGTACTAGCTGAATATCTGTTCCACTAATATAGCTTTTGCTGCTCTGAGCAAACCACTTTATTTTTATTTTTTAACTTTTTTCCTCTGAATGAACATGTGAAAAATTCTGAATATTTTGGTGTTCAACAAAACTTATTTTAGGGTATTGTATGATCAAATATGACCCGGTATGACAATTCTCTTCCCATGGTACCTTTTAAAGTACCTTGTAAAATAGTAGCCAGAACCAGTGGTTTAGAAGATATAAGTAAATCCAAGATAATCTGCACTCAAAAGGTGAACCTGTCCTTCAAAATTAGAGACTGTTTTAAGCTATAAAACATGATGATCTTATTTTCCCCATAACCTTCTCATCTGAAAGAATTGGCCAATTCTGGGGAGATGTCATATTTAGACAGTTGTTCAGTCCTCTTGTAACTCTACAAAACTTTAGCATAATGAGGAAAAAATGTAGCAATGAATGTCAGAGTCTAACTCCGATTGTTACATAACACAAAGATTCATATATTTGAATTTTGGAAAACACAGGGATAAGTAATAAAGTTGTTTTAGTAGCACATAGTAAATAAATCACAAGGAATACTTACTCTTTGATAGTTGCCCCCATTAAAGTAGTAATCCCTGGATGGCATTCCTAAACTTGGCTGGTCAATCTGAAGGAAATCATACAGTTCTTAAGTTAGTGATGAACAGGAACTGGTGATGTCCAAAGGTATCCTTGAAAGGCAACACAAAATGCTGCATGTGCCATCCTCTCGGTGTTGAAATGACAATAGTACTCTCTTCCCAAACAATAAAAACTTTAGCTTTCTAGGAACTGGGTGAGGTAGAAAGTACAACTTTTTGTCTCTGGATTTCTAGATAAGGACAGGATGGATATTAAGCATGGGTTATCAAGCAATAGCTTTTGGTTAGCATTGAGATCTAAGAATAAATTTAAACAGCTTAGAAAAGAAGCTGCTTGACTTGAGGGCTAGACTTCATGCATAAGCATATATGAAGAGACTCTGAAATATTATTTACACGGCTTCCTGCTATATATTAAACCTCAGCACAGTTTTGTGTGTCACAAGAATTTACAATCCTTAACTGCTATAAATCAGCAAAGGCCCATTGACTTTTATTTCTTTAACTGAAACAAAAATTATGCTACCATAAAATGTCTCCCAATATGACTTTGAGACAGATCTGCCACTTGGGGTATGGAGCTGTTGCATACATTTTGCCTGTAGTATGCATGCCCACTGACTTATGGAAAGCTAAGCTGTATGCTGTGTAAATAACTATCCATTATGATACTGGCACATAAATAATTCCCTGCAATTTTTTTCTTACATAAATGATGTGCCTGCTGGAATCCCGGTCATCATTCCATACAAACATGTCAATGAGGACACGTTTGTTAAATTTGGAGTTCATTATGGAGAGTTTTTCTTCCATGCTCCAATTTGGTTCTGTGAGATAAAAGAAAAAACATACATCACTTATCAATATCTATCAGGACTGATTAAGCTGTATAGTTTGCAAGCTTATTGCTGAAATTATTTAGAACCAGACCAGACGTGATGTGAGAATATTTGTACAGGACATTCCTATAGTGGCTAGAAATTGCTGGTCTATTCTTACTGGCCTTATCTGTCCAGTGATATAAAGTAATCAGTAAATGATTAGTGCATATATATATATATATATGCAATTGCCTATGCATAGTATAAATCACTGTGACCTTGCCCAGTTAGGCACTTATGCTTGCATATTAATTGAAGTTTGGAGCATTAGAATACAGCTATAATGGTTATATGCTTTTGGTTCCATTATTCATGTTGGTCCTTTAGGTTTCCTAACTGTCTTAAAATGTGCACCTCTCATGAATGAGATTTCATAATACGGGTGTTAAATGCATACTATCTTATAGAGATCACTGCCTGCTAAACATGCAAGAGTCAGGGTATCATACATATGTATAAAAAGTTAAAATGGGGGATCTAATTCAATGACAGTAGTCTCCTTAGCGCAGTAACTAATTCTGACTTAACTCTACTGAACTCCTTCAGACGCTGCATTACCTTTGGTCTTATTCCAGTCTGCAGAAGCCACTGGCCAATCTCCAACCATCGTTAAGGCCTCTAGTAGAGGTAATGAACCTCGTCGCTCTATAAGACCTGAGAGAGGAAAAAAAAATACTCTATTTTTTTCATGGGGGGGGAGAAAAAAAAGGTAATAGGCCTAACAGTTTAAATCTGAAACTGAATTGCAGAAAATAAGAGATACCATGAAATCATCTGTCTCCTATGTGAGTTTTCAGAAAAGTAATGAAAATACTTCTGTTGACTTCAGTACTGATTTTGACTGAATGGGTTTGGAAAGGATGAAATAGGACATGTTTGTGCATTCAGAAGAGAAGGCTTGGCACTGATACCAGAGGTAGGTAAGCAACATCTGTCCTTTCTACATCCCAGAATGAGTATATTAAGCCTTAATGATGTACCAAGGCATCTTCATTCATTTGTAGATTAGCTTTCCAGGCAAGGCCAGGCAGATTAGACAAATATTGACTGGACTTTGGCTTAAAAATACACTGGTACTTTTGTACGTTTGGTATTGAACAAGAGAATCAATGGAACAAGAAAAGACTCACTCTCATTCATGCATGACTTGTAAAGTATTTTAGCTTTCTGAAATGCTTCTCTGTCCCCTTGATCTGAAGTCTCCAGCACACCTGGGGAAGCAACCATTGCAGTGAGATTTTTGCCCTGGAGAGCTTTGATCTTTTCATAGAAACCACTGGGAATTCAGGGCTATGATAAATACTTGTTATTGTAGGCTTCAATTACCATGAAACTAGAGTGCTCTTTAAAGGAGCTATTAATGTGTCAGGAAGAAGAACATGCATACAGCTTGTCCTGCTCCTTTTGAAGTTAGTATCCAATCACCTATGGCTAATTTTTAGTGAGAACAGAATGTTCCCACAAAATGGGTGTAGTAAGATATGTAGAGATTAAAGGACTGGAGAGAAAAATCACAATCAAGGCTTCTCTGGAAGTTTATGTCTCTGTATAATGTGCAGTAAATAACATCTGAAACTAAACACAAGTGCATAACCAAGGACAGAGTAGTCGCATTCCTACCTTTTAGGATGATCTCCAGCTCATCTCTCAGGATGTCAAAAATGCTGTATCTGGAGCTAGTTTCTGGGATAACGTGCCGGTTCAGCCAGCCCCCACAGGCATACTGGTAGAAATCCTTGCAAGGGTCAGCTGTTGGGTCCATATTCTGAATTATTCTAGCAGCTAGGTATCAAAATTGGAGAGTTGAATTCCACAGACTGCCCAGTAATTTCTGGGACTGCCAAAGACTGTCTAAAAGCTCCTTGGCTAGAAGGCACCTTGCTTATGCTGCTTATAGTGGCTAAGACTCATTCTCATGTATTACGACTCAGATGATCCTATTTCCAGCTTAAAAATGCAAGGGAGCATCTGACAGCAGACACTTGCACTGCAACTGTACTGCTTTACGGAGGGAGCCTCTGAATGGCAGAATAATCCTCCCAGAGCACGGTGCCCTACAGCCTGAGCGTGCTGTGCGGTGCTCTGCCTGGGGCTCTCCCTTAGGCACCTCCCCATGAAGTCAGTGTGTCCAGGGGCAACTGAGAACATCAGTGCTGGAGTCTTACCTCTCTTGATTGCATATAATGGAGGTGTATAAGTAGATGCCAAAAATAAGAAGGTGAATAGCCCCATGTGTAGAATGCATTCTGTTTGAGGGAGAATTGGGTTTAAGGGGATTTTTACTATACTTCATAGACCGTGTTGGTCAAACCACATCCTTGTGGCTCAGGCCAAAGCCAGAGAACTGTTGACCTCACTGGCAATTTTCCTGTACTAATTCCTTATGAATGATATTCTTGGTGACCAAGGAAGTATACAAAGGAGAAGTAATAATAGGGGTGGTTTGTTTGTGTGTGTGGGGTTTTTTTCTCAGTGTTTCCACATGGAACTGTATTTGAGGACAACCTGTACTTGCTGCCTCTGATAACAACAGCGTGTATATTGCCCAAGGGGAAATGTCATTCCTTTTTCAACTTCTTCAGTCTTAAACCCTGAACTATTGTTTATTTGGGCTCGGTAGAACTAACGGCATGTAAAACATCACCTCTGCACTAATCATTCATAGTAACAATCATTACCTGCTGTAACACACCCAGGCGTGGTACACATGTTGCCTGAATTGGTGCCGTAGTGAGTGCCTGCAGGGAGAGGAATAAGAAAGCAGAATTAGTTGTTTTGGAAAGAAACTGCTACCAACGTCACTTGCCAGCAGCCCAACCTCAGTGACAGCTCTGTTTAGTTTTAGAGCAAGTGAGTGAATATTAGTGCCAGTACAAGATAACAAATGACAACTGGGAAGAAATCTCTTATCTGCAGATTTATGAGGAAAATGTATGTGGAAACAGTATTACGACAGTCTTGAAAGTGAGTTTTAACTCTCCTAGAAGGAGAATAAGACTGGGGTTTGGTTGTGTATGTGCGGTTTTGTGTTGTGGTTTGTTTTTTTTTTGTAACCTGCTAACTGTCTCCACAGTCTATGATATCCATTTCTAGAAAATCTACTGAGATTCTCTTAGCATCTGAGCTCTTTCATGATTTTTCAAAGTTACCGTGACTGAGAGGCTTAAACAGGGGGCAAAAAGCCCATAGCTGGATTACTGCTTTCACGCTGTTCTGAGTCAAAGATCAAATTTAAGAAAATAAATGATTTTTACTTGTCGAAGGAGGAGGTGGGGAGCAGGTAACAGACCTATGTATGGTCAAAATTTCAGACATGCCCTTTAAGGTTACCCCCAGCAGAGAGATTGCTCCCTAATCAGTAATGTTTATGGCTGATGAAACAGTGTATAATGACGGTGACTGTGGACATATGCTCAAGTCTGCATTCTGCCTTTGAGATGAGCCTGGAAAAGTCCAGTGAAGTCATTATCGGTCATCTCGATGCACCTCAGTACTCTGAGTAGCAGACCGGAGTAGGTGTGCTAAGAGCTAATGGGTGTACTAGTATCTGCTGTTTCAGTTGTGACACAACACACCTCTCTAGTAAAATAAGAATTTTGTTCTGTTAAGACCTTGGCTCAGTCCTGTTGTTCCTCAGTAGTCTGAAAGCAATCTCAGGCACTCTGGGGACCTTCATGACTTGCTGGTTTCAGCCCACAGAGGAGTGATGTGACAAGGAATCAGAGAGGGAGCACACGCAACGAAACCTTAGGAGAAGCATTCTGCTGTGACTTCTAAAGCAGAAGAAAATGATGTTTGCCTCTATGTGGGGAAACGGGTCTGTATGCTCATTCCAGCAGAAGCCGGAAAGCGTTGCTCTTGGCTATTAATTTTTGACCACTTAGTCTTGGTTTGTGAAATTCTTCCAGTGCAGAAGACCTACAAAAAGCCTATGCGCTCCTAATGCATCAGTGGTGAGCAGAAACTGGAATGGTCTCGAGCTCTTATTGCTTGGTGCTCTACACTAAATGTACCACTATGAGTCTGATGGCAGTAATTAGAGGGTCTTGATGTGAATTTGGAGCCATAAATTCTGCTGCAGACTTACACTGAAGCTTTTGTATGTGAACGTGTAATTTTTTATGCTGAGTACTAAAGTGACTGTGTTTGTGATGCTGGTCATGTCACTCTCTTGTGTGCTGTTCATGACAGAACTGGCACAGCAGGTATCTAAGCACCCCAGCTCAATACCTACCCTGAACTGTGGCCCTGGGCACAAGAAAACTCATTTTGCTGTTTTAATTTTCCATTTGTGAAACTGGACTAGCTTAGTATCCATTTATGTTAAATAGACAACTACTCGATTCCGCATTGCAAAACAAAAACTTGATACCCTTACTTTCCAACAGGATTAGCCACATCTTTAATTTCTTTTTTTTATCCTTACACTAGGATGTTTGCAGAAAAGAGTCACTGAAAAAATCCTTCCAATGAAAACAAGTGTTTTACATGAGAGCAAACAAGATTACAGTAATTCAGATAGAAATAAAACAGTAGGGAAGAAGAGAGGGCTTTGAAGTTCATCAGTGGAAGCAACATAAAAAGCCCCCACTGTGATTGGGAATGTAACATTCAGGGTTCAGCTGAGTGCTGTCGTGCTGTGTGGGAGTAGATCTGCATTAGAATAACTGCATGCCTTATTATAGTTTAGTGTCTAGCAATCTGAACATGGGATGAGCAAAATACGTGGAACAATGTGAAGCTTCACATAGAGGGGTTTAGCTTTCTTTTTTCTTTTTTCTTTTTTTGTGCCAGATGAAGCAAGCCAAATTTTTGGAGTTTCCTAAACTCTCTAGTAATTTTAAAATAAAAAACCCTAAAAGCTCAGGGTATTTCCAAGAAAAAAGAAATCCTTTTGGGGGGAAAAAAACTAGTAGTTCAAAGGTATGTGGAAAATTTCCACAAAGGAGAAATAGTAATGGGCAGGGTGAGAAAGACCTAACTGTACTACAAGTATGCTGTATTTCTCTCGTCATCCCTCAGGGACCAGGCAGGACTCAGATGAAGCTTTTCTTTTTCTTTTTAATTAAAGCTTCTCTCTTTAATATAACCTGACAATGTCTAACTTCAGTTTCTGAAACCAAACTGCTTTCAACAAGCTTCTAACTCCCCACATTCAAAAAGCCCTCGTGATTGTGATAATGTAATTGAGCTGTATAAGCAGGGAAGCCAGATCTGTTTTGAAACCTTAGTTGCGCACTCGGGGCTCTGAAACTCTGCCACAAAACCAGATAATTAGAAATGGCTTGTGAGGGGCTCTCGGTTTACTTCTAAAAGTGGCTCCTTTGTTTTTCTATCAATTATCTCTTTTATGCCTCAGTACCACTCCCGACAAAGAACCAAGCCAACCTGACTGTATGAGATATGACCGACACTGCCCTCTTTTACTGCACAATGTATTTGTTGGGTCCTTGCTGACTCGACTGAGGCTCTGTCTGCTGCACCTCTTGAACTTCAAATAACTAAAACAAATGTAAAATGCATCTTCTAAAAGTCTGAGCTAGAAACTCTCTGCGCTTCATTTTCTCAAACTACTTTGTAAAAACAACTGCTCAAGTTTTCAGTATAAATATAGGTATTTCTCTACATATTAACTTTTCTGTGCTGGTTAAATACTGCTGAGGTTGAGCTATAATGGCACAGACTCCTGCTCTGACATCCACAAAGACTGCTTAAAGTACCAACATGGGAAGGACAACTCGGGTTAATGTTCTACAAAGCCTAAAAGTTGAAACAAAACAGATGTCTAGCAGGATTTAGATGGATGTGACAGGAAATTTCTGAATGTAAAATTATAAGTGGGACATGGGTTCACGTTTTACAATAATGTAAGGCATAAAGATGGTGATTTGTGGCAGAGGAAAACTGGTACAGATTGTTCAGCTCTGAATCCTGTGTTCCTCCTGCTGCATAGAGAGTAAACACATCAGTGGAAGGGTTTGTGGGGAATCAAGACTCGTCTCGTCTCCTATCAAACTTTACCTCCCCCTTGTCTTCTCCCACAGCCAAGTTCACCTCGGGTCTACCTTCTTACAACGTTTTTTTCTCTTTTAAAATTAATTACTCCTTTTTCCCACCTTTTTTCTTCTGAGATACCCTTCCTTGAGTATACCTTTTAAAACTATCAGAGGAATGTCAAAAGAACAGAAGTGGGCCAGAAAGATTTCATCACTGGAACTACTTTGTGCAGTACTAAGTTCCTTTATGGTCTCAAAATCCAGGACCTCTGCAGTGTTACGCTTGCATTTACTTCATTAAGAAAGGCATATTCTTGCTCTGTTGATAGTCTTGTAAGTAGAAAAGAACCAATGAACCCTCTGCAGACTGAAGGGTTTCCTTGCTTCTAGTCTGACAAAGCCCCATCAAAGAACTGGTAAGGGAAGGTAAGCTTTAATGGAGCTAAATAAAATTACCTTAGCTGTGGGACTACTTCAGAAGGAAGAAAATGAGGGAAAATAAGTACTCCAGACTCTGCTTCAGAGGTCAATAGCTCACCTGAAGAATGGCAGAGCTGGGATGTGTTTCAGACCCCACTGGACTCACTGTAGAGAATTCCATTGCCTTAATTTGCCTTTACAAGAAGCCACTGAACAGTATTACATTTACTGGACCGCAGCAGGATGTAAGAATACCTTCTGAGAACTGCAGAGCACTGTAGTCCTGTTCAGCTTTTGAATGACAAGTTTTTAAAAATACAAGTTGCTTTTCACAGCCTTATGGAAGTTCCTTTTTAGACAACAAAAGCGAAGCAAATTGTTCTGTACAGTCCTGAAGCACAGTTTGTGTTTAGTGTTTTCCCACTGTGCGCTTTGAGGAGCACAGATGGCTGGGGATGGCACACACTGAAACAATTAGATCCACAGTTGTCATCAGGCAGTCAAGTGTGAGCTTTACCTTTCAGCACCGTAGCTATTTCTGACACAGATCTCATCTGCAGAAGTGCTGTCAGCGCTGCAGATTGCCTTTGTTGCTATTATAACAGTGAATTGTTTGCAACAAATAATGTAATTGCCAAATTTAGCTTGTTTTTTCTTCCTCTGAGAGGGCTGTCTATACCAGATGTCACTGTCTTCAAACGGACTCCATAACACAAGTGCCTGGTTTTTATTCCACCTTTCTTATGATTCTTACCTATTGTCTATCTATAAGCATGGCTGAGACAGGATTTCATGTGAGAATCAGTAAACTATTTGCCCACTTCTGCAGCCCTGTATGGCCCATAACCGCACATCCACGCTTTATGCTCATGCAGCGCCATCTGAGTAGAATTGAGAAGAGTCTTGCCATCTAAATGTCATTTCATTGTGACTTTTGTGTTGGCTGCCACTCCTTTAAACTCTCACTCTCCTTTGAATAGATATCTCATTAATGAACAGTCACAAAGTCAAAGACTGACCAGGCATCGGTCTAGGAGACAAGCCAGATCTCGGCCACAACCTTTGCTTAGTGTGCCAGTGACTAGTTTAGATATTGCCCCTAGTCAGCAGGTTCTTGTGACTCTATTATTCAAGTGCACATTAATTGCACTTGCAGCACTGGGAATGCAGGAGCATAATATGTCTCTTTGAAATCCACTCCCAGAACAAGGTGCTGCTTAGTCCAAGGGTTGTATTTCTTTACCTGTTTGTAGCTTGCCTAACCGGCTAGAACGTAGGTGCAGGAGCCTGCCCTCTAGCTTTCTCACAGCCTGTACAATAGATGTGAATAGTGGCAACCTGTGGGGATGCAGACACATGCACGCAAAAACCTGCAAATCTTACTCACGTGAAATCCTACAAACTTGGGAGCCAGAAAGTGAATAAAATATCAATTAAACTAATAACATGACTCTTGAGTAGTCAGGACAAGCAGTTAGGTGAGAATGTAAGTTGTTTGTAACTCTAAGTTGTCTGGAGGAGTCACCGACTGTGACTTGATGTGTCAGCAACAATACATGTTGAAATGTTCTTCAGACTGTAACCTTTCCCACAAGTGATGAGGTTTGGAGTTTAGTAAATATTTGTAGAACATTCCTGAGAGCTGTGAAAAGGCTGCAAAGATGTATGTGTGGGTGTGATGGAAAGATTGAGAGCATGGTGTATTCAGACTCAAAAAATGAATGATTTCAGTTCTGTCTGCCTCTCTTTCTATGATCACCCAAATATTACTGTTATTCTTACTGTATTTTCTTCTAGCTTATCTAGACAAGATTTTATGGGTACAAAAACTTCTTTAGATGTCAACAATCCCCAAACTGCTTCTAGAGGTATATAAACTGCATTGCTGTGAGAGCTTCCGTGTTTTTGTTGTCTGGGTATATAGATAAAAATCAGTCAGTATTAACATGTACTACATCATTATTGCTATAACCAGAGGCCTGTTTCATGCACCACAATTCTCTTCTGCAAGCTACATACAAGAGAACAAAAATATACACCCTGAACCACAAAGTCTACATATACCTTCATATATGTAGAAAAATATGAAGGTATATTTTTATAAAAAAAAGGCAGGCCAGGTAATCCTTTTAATTTTCCATTAGTTAAACATAATTATTGTTTAGAAGCCTGTCTGGGTAGTGTCCTTCTAATGAAGGACGTACAAAGCTGAAGTGGCAAATCTGAATCTGCTCTTAGTAAACTATCTAGCATCCCTTATACATTTCAAAATTAATATTTGAGTGAAATTACAAATAGAAGAACCCAAAGGATAACATTTTTGGTTCCATCACAATAATGCTGCTCAGCTACGTTGTGGTTGGTTTTTTTCCTGCTGCTGTATAGGATTTATGTGTTACGCAGCTTTGAGCAATATGTGGTTTTCACGTGGTTATGGCTAAGACTTCAGCCTCCTGACTAAGCACTGGGTACAGGCCTAGATGTAACATTGAAACAGAACCAAGTGGAGTATTTGGACAACGCTTTTCAAGACAAAAAAACGTTCCTGTTCTGCAGGAACACCCACTGGTTGCACTGAAGAGCTCTTGCTTTCTCAGTGTTAGACCCAAAGAGCACATATAGGCATGCACCTAAAAGATGGTGTAGTCTGAAGCTCCTGCTGCTCAGTTCCTACCTGTGAATTACCCACAGCTTGTGGCTACTCTAGGGTATGAGTACATCCTGGTGTCTCCTGTTACATTTAAGTGTGCATAGTTGAACTACTGCAAAGTGAGAGAGGGAGAACTTGACTCTGTCAGTGCTGAAACCACTCCTTTAAGGCACAAGAAAACAGCCGGGAGGAGCTGTGTGCTGTACAGGACAAGCAGTGTATCAGCTCCGCAATCACTTTGCACTCGCATTTTGCTCAGGAATGTCTGAATCTGGGAAACATTTCCAGTGAAAGCTTAATTGCTGATACAAGCATGCAAAATATTTAGATTTTGGATCTGCTTGCTCACAGATAAGCCTTTTGTCACAAATATCTAATGGTTAGTGCTTGTTTTACATGCACAGACTCTTCCCGTGGATTTGGATGAGACACCAAAATTTGGGCAAATATTATTAATACCTGAATTCTGATTTGCCTGAACCCAAGAAGCAAGGTGTAGAGTGAATTCCTCAAATCCTTTATCCATGCAAGCAACAAAATTCTGCATAGCTCAGTATTTTGATAGAGAAACTCCTCCCCTAGACCTAGCTCTGGGGAATTTTTTTTTTCCTCCTGTCTCCTGAGCTAATAGAAGAAATATAAGCAACTTTCTGATGAGTATTATGAATAGCAAGTACTCAGATTTCATTTAACACTGCAACAAATGCTGGTAACATTCAGTTGCTGGTAGCAAAAGGAGTAAACAATAAAAAGGCTTTTCTTATGAATTATTAGTCAGAATTGTGCAGTGTTGTACTCACAAGTGCTGAAGAAAGCAATTCACTGCAGGCAGGGGATGCAGAGACAATGTAAGGAGAAAACTAATGCCTTGCTTCGGTTTTGCTATTCAGACTCCTTAGTTTTATTTCCCTAGTGTTTTACCACAGCTCTGAATCCAAGAGGCATTCATGGACATGACAAACACGAGGCAGGTGCTGCTACCAATCATGTCAATTGCTTCACAGAATTTTTAAATAGGACTCTGCATTCGGTGTGTTACTGGAAAAACCTGGCTTTGAGAATAGGCATGCTCTGCAGTTATATATTGAGGTGAAGCACCTCAAAGATACGCCTCATTGTCAAGTTCCTGGCACATTTGCATGAAAGTTATTGAACCAAATCTCACCTAGAGATCAAATTGCCTGATGTAATATTAAAACCGGTCTCCCTTTCCTCAGCAGCACACTGTAGTGTGTTGGGTTTGGTGTTTTTTTTTTTAAAAAAAAAAAGCTTTCACACTGTAATAAGCAATCTCTCCTTTAGCTCTGCTAAGCAGCTGTTCCTTTAGAACTCCTGGCAATAATGAATCCTGACTCAGGCTCCTATAAAATAAGGACATGTCAAGCCTTACACAGATGCACACCTTCCCCTCTAAAATATTGCATTATTTTTTTACCTTTTTCAAAACAATGCTGAATTCAATAAAATGCATAGAAGTAATTAAAAACATAGAATCTTACATCACATAATTTAAAAATGAAATCCAGCATAATCCTCTCTGCATGAGCTTGGAACAAGGCAGAGATAGCCAAGTCCCTCACAGAGGCGACCTCACTGTCTCCCTGTATTTTTGTTTTCCTTTAGCTCTGCAAAAAGACTTAATGTTGTTTGCAGAGGGAAGGGGAGAATTATTCACGGGTTCCTTACCTCTGCTGCTGGCATACAGGATCACCAGGGCGACCACTGCACAAGTCATGAGGAGCAGCAAGACAGCCAGACCAATTGCCACAAAGTTCCAGGATTTCTTCCCAGATTTTGCTGATTTTTCCACAATATCCATTTGACTTTCTGATTTCCCCATTATTGTAACTCTAAATTGAGGAGGGGAGGGTAAGAAAGAATTAACAGCACAGCTAAATCAATATAGGATAAATGCATGACAAATCAGGGAGAAAAAGGAAGTAGAATGATAGCAAAGGCAGATAAAGAAAACTTCCAAATTATTACATGTATTTATCCATTTGATTGTCCACAGATTTGCCAACCTCATTCTCCATCTCCTGCGCCCACCAGGTTGTCTGCACTCGGGGTGTGCTGCTGGGGGGCTGTTCCGGACTAGGCTACCCTAGGCTCTCAGTGGTGCAGTGTCATAACTTCAGGAGCCTGCTTTGGGGAAGTATGGAAAAGTCTCATGACCAGGTTGGGCAACTCCTTTCTTGCAAACGGGGAAGGAGGGGAAAAACTGCCTCCTTCCACTCCCTGCTTCAAAAGTGTCTTGCTGCTTTGAAGAATTTTCCTCTTTTTTTTTTTTTTTTCCCCTCTGTGGATATGAGTAGGTCTGCAGAGCTCTGTTAACAGCAGTAGAATCCAAAAAGAGATCCTTCCAGGTGTGAGTGCCTTTGAGCGTCTGCCCTGTCCTTAGCAGAGGTGAAGGGTTTGGAAAGCAGATGGCTCCTAGAACACGTGTCAGCTCCCAGGTCCGCAGGAGTTTGTGACCTCCAGGTTCTTGGTCTTCTCAGAGCCATGCTCAAACTTCGGAGCTCAGGCGAGCGCGGTTCCCAGCTCCAGGCAAATGCTCCTGAGCAGCAGAGGGAGGAGGGGTTGCATGACAGCAGCAGACAGGGCTGGGCACTCCGAGCCTGCAAGCAGCACAAGCTCCGCTCTGCTGCAGCTTCTCCTAAGTTTCCTCTAGCTTTCCTGAAATCCGCCGCCAGGTTATTTGGCTGCTGTGCTCGCAGAAGGAGTGAAGTCAGAGGTGTCAGCCTTCTGAAACCCCCTGGCTCCGAGTGTGCTGGCAGCTTTTGGGTGTAATACGTGGGAACAGCTTCTTGTTTGAAAACACACTGATCTATAGATTGTTGCAGGCTATGCACAGAATTCTTTTAAGCTGCTGCTTAGAAATCTAGCTGGTAACAACTGGGAAAGACAGTAAAAGCAAGGGCAGGATAAGCATGTGATTTTTCCCTTGAGTTTTATTTTATTCTCTTTCAGAACTTACTTTGGAATGAGGAGAAGCAGGTTGGTGTTGTGGTTGTTTTGTTTTTTTTTCTTTTGGTGGTGGTTTGGGGTTTAGGGTTTTTTCTTTTTTTTTTCCCTGCAGGCTGGTTTATTGAGCTAGTGTAACTTGCTGCCAAAGTTCACACTATATAAATTTTAAGGTTGGTACCTCTTGACCCGAGTGCATCACCAGCGCTCCAAGTTTTGTGTGCATCCAGGAAGAAGTGCTGAGGGCAGAGCAGGGATTTCTTTGCGGCCGTTCTGTTTACTGGGAACGTACCCGCAGAATGTTCCCAGAATGTGAAGGCAGACCTGTTTCCATGAATGGGGCAGGACACAATGAACGCCAGTTTCTTCTGCCAGGAGTCTAAGCCCTCCTCTTCTAGTCAGTACTGTGCCTCCAAACTCCTGTGAGAATTTGCTTTTTTTTGTTTTTTTTCCCAGAGTCACGTTATCTTAGGCTTCTGTCAAGTGTGAAGGCAGCTATTCTCATCCCACCATCTGAAGAGGAGTATAGGAACACAAAGATCCAAAAGAAATCGATGCACTTGCAGATCCTGGGTGTCCATATGTGAAAACTAGCTACAGAAGGCAAGGTTGCTTATAAGGACAAAGCTATACATTTAATGATGAGTTAAGTGATCTCTTATTTCTGTTTGCAGGAAGTTCTACATCTAACAAAAGATTACTTTCCTACATATGTGAATCTTCCCTATTGCTGAACAGTTTTATTGTTGCCTCGCAATGTAGCTGGCTCTGAGGTAGGCCAACCTAGTTAAGGTCTGTAATATTACAACAGATAAGCGCCTCACAGGCTTTAATGTAGTAATTGTTGTAATATGGCTGCAAGATACTGGAGGGCATTATTTTGCTGGTTTCACAGGTGGAGAATCAAGATGCCAGGAATCCAAGAGCTTTATTCCTACCGCTTTCTGTGCATGCCTCTGGTAGCCATTGTGCCTAACACGGTCTCCGAGGCTGGGAATGCTATGAGTGACCAGACCGCCTGCTGCTCAGGGTGCAGACCCCAGCCGCCTGTGTAATCAAGAGATAGAGGACTTAAAGTCCTAAGTAACATGTGTAATAAACGATTTCAACATCGCCCAAAGCAACTTAAGTGAGGTCAAACATGAGCACCAAGAAAGTAAATCTCCCTTATTTCCCCAGAAAATTCCTAGATTGCCTCAAAAAGCATTAACGCAATCATGCAGAAAACACTTTGTCCTTTTCTTTAATTTTGGGAGGAAGTGGGAACTATATCAAGAATTTTTTCCTGTATCTCTAATGGCTTCACTTCCTTGTAGAGCTGAGGAAAAGGTGTACTGTTTCCAATAGGAAGCACAAGAACTTTGGGTGTAGCAATGGCATCAGCTTGCATTTTCTGAAAGTTATGTTAGACTGATCTGAACATTAGATTGGAAAGTCAGTAGTGACAAATATTCTGTATTTCTTTCTACTCTTGCAGTTTAGCTCTGAAATGCACTGCTTAGTATTTGTAATGAAAATACTTCCATTGTCAGTTCTCAGGCAGGTATCAGTGACAAATGGTTTAGGTAGTACTGAGCCTGTTTTGGGTTAGAGAATGTCAGAAAAGGGATTAGTAAGTTTATCATGTTCCTTCACGTCCTATTTTAAAGTATTTCTTTACCTGTTTTTCTACACTAAGTCAGCATCTGCATGAGCAATAGCAGTGCACAACCCAAAGCACTCATCCAGAGCTTTGCAGTTTAAAAAAAAAAAGTGCTTCTCTCCTGTATGAGGAGAAGCACCAGCAACTGTAAGGGACATATTTGCAGAATCATTAATTTTGATTGTCTTGAGCAACTTTGTGTGGTCACTGAAATAGGGTAATCCGTCATTTTGACAGCTCTCTGCTAGTGCAGTGAGGTCCCCGTTCTGTTCATTGCTTTGAAGGGGAAAGACCTATTTTGGTTTCTGACACATCTCAGTATCACCTTTGTAGCATTTATGGCAAAGGAGATCTGATGATGCAAAGTGGAAGTCGGTTTTTGTTTGTTTTTTTTTTTCTTAAAGCTCACATTTGACTAAATTATACATAATTTTTTTTCTTTCTGCAGTGCATTTCAACCAGAAATTGCTAAAAGTAGTTCAGTTCCTTTATACCCTAATGCAGAAACTCAGGCACAGGAAAGTATTGTGGCTTGTCGAAGTTACAATGGCAGCCACTGCCTGCAGAAGTTTTCATGTATTAGTCTTTGATCTGTTGGTGTAGTTCACAATCTTAGACCCTTATTTTACAAATTAGCTTAAAAAGTATAATCTCTATTTACAATAATGTGAAGGTGAACACTGATCTGGGGATTCCTCTTCCAGAAATTGAGGAAAAGTAGGAGTTTTCAGTTATTAGAAAACATGCTCTTTCCCCAAAGCAACCTAGATGGGGGAAAAAAAAAAGGCAGTGAGGCATTTGCTGTTTGCATTGGGCTACTTTGAAGGGATCTTTCCCTCTTTGCTTGCTTTGTAACTAAAGGAGGTTCTTCTGTTACTGGAATTCAGATTTGTAAAGAGCTTGTAATGGCAGGGTTGCAGTTTAAAAAAAAAAAAAGCCTCAAATCATAGATTTTTACACTTGGATCCTGGAGGGGTGGAGCTGAAGCAGCCAATCTGGATGACTGCCTCCTTTTAGGATGTTTTTAGTGTGAACTTGAAGCCCCCACATATGACTGTTTACTGAAGAGGTGCTTCCTCAGGCGTAAGGCATCCCAAACCACACAGAACTGCTGCGGTTCTGGTATAGAGGGAGCTGGTCTGGAGTGTGAAATGCTTTTCTCTTTGGGAAGGTTTCTCAAGTTCAGGAGGAATTTATGGTCAGAGAGCTCCAGCCCTGAACAGCAAACAGTCAGAGCCAGTGCCTTGCTTGCCTGGAATACTGTACCTGATTCAGGGCTGTGAATATTTTTGCTTTCATATTTCCCTTGGAGAATCTGGAATAAGCATGGCTACAAACCTGGGACACTGTGCTGGGAGAAGATGGTATTCGAGGATACTACTACCTTTCTCAGAAGTCTGGTTGTTATATCTTAATTGCCTACAATGTCAAATTGACCTTCAACTCCTCATTTAGGAGGAATTGATTCTAAAGATAAAAATTCCAGGGAGTTGTGGATTTTTTTTCTCTGCGTATGTTTGCTTTACCATTGGTGATGTGTACCTCAAAAACCCTGTCCTAGGATTGAGAGAATATATGACCTAATCTAGTTCCCTGCCACCCTGAGGTTTTGCAGAGTCTTTCCTCAGTGCTGACTATGACCTTCTCCCAACACCTTACTCAGGTTGCACTAAGACAATTTGTTGTGTTTAGTATTGATGTCATTGAACGTGCTGGGTCACCTGAACAGATATTCTAACGGTTGCTGCTCTCTGTATACTTCAAGAAAATCAAGGACCGCATGAACAATAGGGTAGTTATTCCCCAGCCAGTGGTCTGGGGTTCTCCTGCAGGTATTAAACAGCTACATCAAATATATGAACAACTTGATGTCCTAAAGCAATCAAAACCAAGGAGGATGTGGTGCTGACATCATCTTTAGTATGATGTGTCTTAAGTATTGCTACCATGGAAACAAGTTATCATCTCTATCTGTTGCACTTTGTAGCTCCTTATAAACTGATCCATACTAAGATGTGAGAGAACATCAAAACCCCAGCATCCAGAGGTACGTGTACTTTGCCCATGCAAAAAGTCACATATAAATCTTGATTTGAGGCCGCCATCCAAAGCCATTAGAGTGATGTGGGCATGCAACTTTTGTCATGACATCACTTCTGTACAAGGTGGCTAATGCAGAGGCTTTTGAAGGGCACGGGTGGGCTGGCCTTGGCAGCTACTCACAATGTGACATTCCACAAGAATTCAGTGCAACTCCTATGATGTGTAACTCTTCTATAAATTCGTTCCCCTGGAATGGGCAAACCACCTGTTCTGGGTATTGCTGGCACATCAAAGCGTGAAGAGCTATCTCTATTTTGATGCAGCAGCACTATTGTCAAACCGGCATAATGCAGATACGGCTTCCAAGGAAGGACTGGAAAGGACCCT